GCATTGGGCCAAGTAATCACAAGATGGCTGCCGCCGCATCAACTGATAATTATCTCTGCTTGCTGGAGCTGTTTTCCCGAAACTGTATTCCATGAAGACCCACCTACCACTATAGACCCACCCTAAATCCAACCCTGATTGGAACCTATGATCCCTATTGAACTGATAATTAGAACACGTAGCCCCTCACCCATTTACTTGCATGTATCACATTTTCAATAAAAAGGCACGATAATTCCTGGCAATGGTCACTCTTCAGAGAGCAATCTCTGGGGGTGTCCGACTGAGGACGTGCATGAAAATGGCACCGAGGCCTTAGTCTTCTTTTCCTGTGCCACCTCCGACGAGTCAACCCACCCCTGCTGAGGCCGGACCCCGGCATTATTACTACTGTACATCCCCTGTCTCAAAAATGCAAAATACTATCTATACATATGCTGACTTGTTTGCATCATGTTCTCAAGTGGGATCATTTCACAAGGATTTTTTCCTGACATTTTCAGTAATTACACTAAACTCTATTAGATATATGAGCAAATTTTATTTCTAGCAATAAATCATGTTTCTTAAAGCAGTGAACATTATAATTATAATTTCATTTATAATAGAAATTGTATTAAACATTGGTCATCTAATTACCTTCAAACAGCATGTCTCTCTAAGGCTAGTTTTCAATAAACGAAGTTTTAAAAAAGACACTTGTAAATTATTTATCAAGACTACAAGAACAACTAAATAGAAAATAGCACAATAGTAGCAAGCAATATCTGGCTATCCACTGGTACTAAAAGTAGGAAGCCTTATAACATGGTTGTTACCACCAAAGATCATTTTATACAGATTCCTTCAACTTCATTTGCTACCAAGTTACCCTAAAATTATTACAGAACCAATTGGAACAACTTGAATATAGGAAAAAGCAGATTACTTCATTTATTGTGATGTTTCAATTAGGAACAAAAAACTAAACTGAAAATTCAGGATTTTGGCAGTCTCTAAAACTAGTACATCAATGACAACAAAGCTTCATTTTTCTTTGGATTTCAACTAGCATGTATATATACTAGCTAAATATGTGTGCTTAACTTTAATATATTAAATTTAAGAATCAAAATGATACTTCAGTTATGTAACTATCATTTTAAGTGCATGCAAACAACTGTTTCTAAGAGAATAATTTTAGGGTTAGGTTTCCATGCACTAGGGTAGGAATCTTTAGAAAGGCAAAATCATTCCTCTATAATTTTAAGCACTTTACTTCCTCTAGTCAGAACTTTATTAACATTTCAAGTCGACTTCCCACTAGATAAAAGTGTGTGAATGTTGTCTGGAGTAAGTGAGTGTCATAGGATAAGGAAAAACTATATAAGTCATATCTTTACAATTTATATAAATTATTTAAAATATTTATATATTTAAAAACATACAGCTAGCCCATACACTGACAGATGCTTTTAAAATTCTTTATGAAATCTTTCTGCTTTCTGAAAATGTTAACAATGGACAGGAGGTCCATTTTTTTTACTAATTGTTGTAATTTGTTTTCTAGTTTGAATTTATTGGGAAGTTACAAAGATCATTTTATACAGATTCCTTCAACTTCATTTGCTACCAAGTTACCCTAAAATTATTACAGAACCAATTGGAACAACTTGAATATAGGAAAAAGCAGATTACTTCATTTATTGTGATGTTTCAATTAGGAACAAAAAACTAAACTGAAAATTCAGGATTTTGGCAGTCTCTAAAACTAGTACATCAATGACAACAAAGCTTCATTTTTCTTTGGATTTCAACTAGCATGTATATATACTAGCTAAATATGTGTGCTTAACTTTAATATATTAAATTTAAGAATCAAAATGATACTTCAGTTATGTAACTATCATTTTAAGTGCATGCAAACAACTGTTTCTAAGAGAATAATTTTAGGGTTAGGTTTCCATGCACTAGGGTAGGAATCTTTAGAAAGGCAAAATCATTCCTCTATAATTTTAAGCACTTTACTTCCTCTAGTCAGAACTTTATTAACATTTCAAGTCGACTTCCCACTAGATAAAAGTGTGTGAATGTTGTCTGGAGTAAGTGAGTGTCATAGGATAAGGAAAAACTATATAAGTCATATCTTTACAATTTATATAAATTATTTAAAATATTTATATATTTAAAAACATACAGCTAGCCCATACACTGACAGATGCTTTTAAAATTCTTTATGAAATCTTTCTGCTTTCTGAAAATGTTAACAATGGACAGGAGGTCCATTTTTTTTACTAATTGTTGTAATTTGTTTTCTAGTTTGAATTTATTGGGAAGTTACAACATTTCACTAAAGTAAAATACCAATATGTGAATATTTAATCAGTTTGGTATTTATGGTTAATCAAATATTATAAAGTTAGCTATTTCAAACAAAACCATTACAATTTATACATAAGGAATACCACTTACAAGCTGCTCTGATTTCACACCATATAACTGGATGGTCTTCGCCACGTTTTTGGACACAGCTAATGTGAGGTTTGCATCAACAGCAGCTATATTTAGTTCACTAAGAAAACAAAAACAGATTTTAATTATTAGCAAGACAGTTCATCAACAAAATAAAGAGCAACATATAAATCTGAACCCAATAAACAATGAGGAATTTTTAAAAATAGATTTCACTTATTCCTCCAAGAATTAGCAATATAATTGTTAAACTTTTTCCCAAAAAATTTAGAATTAGGAAAAAGTGCCTTGAGATGGCTTTGCTAATGACCAGTTTCTCATTAATAAAAGCATGTCATGTGTGGGTTTGGTCTGTGATTAAGAGAGTCAATTGTGTACAGATTTTTAAAGTAGCACTCTTGCTAATACTGATAAGGGCAATTAGAGGCATTGCATATCACAGACATCTGCAAGGAAATGACAGCTCTTGAATGGAAATGATGACCTTGGAAGGGACATAGGCTAAAAATATAAATTACACATGATACATAAAGAAACTCAGTTTCTGTAGAAATGATGCCGATTCGTGCTATTTTCTATAGAGTAGCTTTTTAAATATATCGAAAGCACAACAGAGAAAGCTATGATTTGACATTTTAAAGATCTGGATTCTTTTTTCCCTTGAATTTTTTTTTTATTCATGATAAGCACATGTGCACACGTGTGAGAGAGCGAGAGCAAGAGAGAGAGGTGACCATCCCCACAGGGTCTGCCATGACCCCCATCCACAGCCCTCTAGCTGGTCAGTCACACTTACATGTGTGACTTTCAGACTGACTGGTCTAAGGGTTCGACTCCTGATCATCATGTGGGTTCAGGTCTCTCTTACACCATGGAGTGGGCTCCAAAATTTGAATTCTAAAAATATTTCCCTGTCATTTGTATTTTCAGCTTTAACACTGGATTGAGATACTTCAATTGAATACTGAAAAAATTATTTTACAAAGATCATAGGAAAAAAATAAGAATTTAAAAATTGCATGAAAACCCATATGCAAGTAGAAAGCAAGAAAAGTAATTATTGAGTTTGAAGTAATAAAATAAACCTTGGTACTTAACAGATTCTCTTCTAAAAAAATTAGACTTTTAAAAACAATAGTGCATACTATGTGTGATAACTATGCCTTTAAAATACTATTGGAACGTTTTATTAATGTTCACTTTTAAATTCTATTAAACACTGGCATGAGTAAGTGTCTTAAAGCTCTGGATAATATTTGATAACAGTATTGCCAAGTTGCATAGAGGAATAGGAGAGATGGATCCACCATGTTAACATAAATACTTCAAAGAGATCAAGGTGAATCTAGGTTTGTTGTTTATCTAGGGTTGTTGAAAAAAAACACAAAGTAGATAACAGAGACTTAGAATTTTAAAAAATAATAATAAATCTAGAGCCAGGACTCTGGAAAGTCACAGATGCTGGGCAATCTGGACACCTTCTGTTTGCTGCTGAAGATGATGCTCACGTATATTATGCCTGCGGCTTTTTCCTCTTACTCTTCCATGCCTCGGAATGACCATCTTAATATTTGTGGTCTGAAAGAATTCAGTCAGTCCTATACCTTGGTCCTGTCTTGCCCAACTATTTTCACATCTTCCACAAAGTGCCCTCCTCAAATGAACAGACCTACTGTTATGACAACTTGGTAGCTATGACAGGAACTGAGATAGTCTCAACTTCAAATTAATCTGGATAACTTTACACTGTAAATGTCTAAAGGCAACAGACATTGCAAACATTATCTGCAAGCTTTCAGGTGGCACCTCTGCTAAAATACCTTCCCTTTTTAGAGTTATAAGAGCTGTAACATTCACTTAGAAAGCTTAAAATAGCAAACACAAGTATTCTAGTCAGGATTATGATGTACCATGAGGTACATTCTCAGTTTAGAATAAAAAACATTAAGCAGTATGTTCTAATTTCTCAATTTGTAAAGTTATTTTTATGTTTACTTTTATGTGTAGTAGTAGGGATTTACTAAGGCATAAAGAGCTAGGTTTATTCAGCAACCTTCACAAGACACAGAATAATTATAAAATACTACTTTTAGAGTATATCTAAATAATTTTATTATCTGGAATCTTGAGCACTTACTATGTGTGCACTCATTCACTGCAAAACTCGTGATATAAGTCTAATTACTTGAATAATTTGAGACATTTAAAAAATGTACTGCTATTGTACCTCACCAAGAAGTGTGCAGGCATCTTACAGTATGGCATTATATAAAAAATACATACCTTGCTATGGTTTTAATGATTCCATCAAGTTCATCAGAGGAAGGAGGATTACGACCACCAGGTGGAAAAACCAAGTTGATAGGATCAAAGAGTCGAGATAAGGATTTGGATAGATAAGCACTCTCATAGGGTTGCAGTGAGTCTTTCAAAGCCTTTTCTGGACTGTGGAAACACAAATTTTTCCAAAACTTAAATGATATAAAACAAAATGCTATTATATCAGGCTATAAATACCTTTTAAAACATATCAACCATGAAAAATGTATATCTATATTAATAAAAGGAAAGAAAATTTATGTTAAAATGTATAAATATATTTACAAATACATTTCTTGATAAAACAATTATTAAGGACTACATGAACCTTTTAATTTACATATCAGTCCTAGATTATATAATATAATATGCACCAGGTACATACTGTATCATTTGTGGCTTGAAAAATAAAAGAATAATACTGTAAAATCCTATTACTACAAAGGAGGCTATGCTTTACTTAGCAAATCCTTTTTTTAAAAATTTGTATTTATTATCATTATTCTTCAATTTTGACCAAAAAAGAGACAGAGGAGGAGAGAGGAAGAATGAGAAAGCAAGTTGCCAGGTCTGAGACTCAAACCATGGTTGGCCATGTCTTAACCACCATGCTACCAGCTGGTCCAGCAAATTCTATATATTTTTTTTCAAATCCTATTTTTTTACAGTTTATTTATTGCTTCCACAAGAGAGAGGTACATCCAACATGCCATGATCCAACCCCAGTCTCAGCCAATTAGAATCGCAGGCACTTCTTTCTGCACACCTAGCATGTATAGGAAATCTCGAGAAAGGACCCCAGATCATCTCATGTGGCTTCAGCACTGTGGAGCATTTGTTACTGCTGCACCAGGGCAGCTGGCTGCAGATCCTGTTTTTACAGAGCATCAAAGCATACACAAGAGAGACAAGCCTGCAGAGACCTGCTCCATTAGCTTAACCCTCTTCACTCATAACTGCTAATTCCCATAAAGCTCACTGTCTAAGAAGCAAATATGCAGATCTTTATTTTTTACCAGTTTACCCTTGCTGTGTTCCTAATGAGAATGAGGACAAAATAAAAAATATTTGTATAAGTCTTACAATCACATAGATACTCCCAATCGGAATGGAAGTTCATTTGTTTCTACTAAACATGTCTCTCTTTACCCATTTCACATCTTCAATAACTTGCATTGATTCTTTTTAGCATTTTTCCTTGGACAATTAATATGAAATGCCTATGATCATTATTTCCATCTGTTTCCTTACTCCTATAATTAGTTACACATCTTCTCTCCAACTGTCTTTAAATAAATAAATAAATAAATAAAATGTCCCCTTCATCTAAAATGTTAACCTTGAAAGTGTCTAGTATGCTCCTTCATGTACAAGAAACCTGGCTTTCTGCTTTATTCATCCTTCGGGTCAAGTGGCAAGACCTAGAGCTCAGAATGTTCCTTGTTCCTATAACATCACAATTCCATAGCTGTCTCTTACTACTTTCACATTCAGAAGTTTTCCAATTTATACTTATTTACTGAGACTATTACACCAAGGACTTCGTTAAGTGCTAGGAAGATGCAGATTAAGAGAACTTCTTAAAAATAAATATTTATTTAATTATTATTTTTTAATTTGACCAGTTAGAGAGAGGGAAACAGAGACAGACAGACAGAAGGTGAGAAAGCAAGTCACCAGGGACTCAAACCATGGTTGGCCACGTAGGAGTACAGAATCTTAACCAACACACTACCTTCTGGGCCCTGGATTAAGAGAATTTTATAATCTAGCAATGAAATGAGTAAAGTGTCAATTACAATACTTTTTATAATAGATAATGATACAAAGTCCACAAGGTGAGCTTGGAAAAACTAGTAGCTAATCTGTCTGAAGCAATCCTCTACTGAAGCCCATGCTATCTATTAATATTTACATGTCTTCTCTATTTTGCTCATGCTGTCCACTGACCTTAAAGAAGACTCCTCTGCAGAAATTTTGGCACTAAATTATAATTACTAACATTCTTCTTGTCCTCCAAATCTAACTGAACACTTGGTGACCGCAATGTCAAAATGATAACTTTTAAAAATCTGCCCTGATTAGAAGCCTACATTGATAATGACCTTCATCTCAGCTTTATTATGGAGCTTCCGAACTTGAGTTATTTTGAACTGCTCCATATCTAATACCTCCAAGCTTAAAGACAACTATCCACATGCCCCACCCTCTCCCATCTCTTTCTCTCCCACACATATTAAGTCTCTACAATTTGCCAAGTATTTCATAGCTGTAGGAAATACAGCAGAGAACTCAGTTTCAAAAAAATCCCCTATCCTCTTAAAGCTTACCTGCTAACAAAAGAGATACAACAACAACAACAAAAAAAAAGGTTAAAAAAGTAAAAATGTTATCTACATTTCACATCTAGGTTTCCAAAACCTTAATCTTGCTATACTGACATCAATTATGTCTTCCTCCTTGGCCAGGCTGGGCCCTCTGCCATCAAAGGAAGCCATAGATTTCTTTTTTCTTTTCTTTTCTTTTTTTTTTTTTTTTGAGAGGTTTTTGCTATAGGGCGCATGCGCTCACCAGACAGACAGAGAGAGACAGAGAGATAGAAAGCGAGAAATCACCCCCCCAGAGGAGATGGCCACACCGCAATCCCTTCTCCTCCATTCTCCTCTCGGGATCTTAGGCACGCACGCACATGCGCCCGGCCTGAGTTTTAAGCCACCGGGTCCGGGACGCGAACGGCGGTCGACTACATGGGAGTCCAGCGACATAGCCATTATGCTAATTGCTGGTCCCAAGCTTGGACTTTCTTGCTTGCTCGCCCTTCAGCCTTCCACCTTCAGTCATGAGATCACATGGAAAAAAGGCCTTTATCAATCAAGTATGGGCCTTGGACTTTCCAGCCTCCAGAACTCTAAGAAATAAGTCTCTGTATTTTATAAATTACCAGTCTCAAGTATTCTGTTATAGCAACTCAGAACAGACTATCACTTTTTCTTCATTCACTGTGTTAAAACTGCACCAACGTCTTTCTGTTCCTCAAACCTCTTTATCTTAATTTTTCTCAAGATTTTAAGATTCGCTGTTCTCAAAAAACAAACAAGCAAACAAACAAAATAACTTATTCCAAGTCTCCCATGGTTGACTCTTTCACATTACTTAGATACCGGGTCAATTGTCATATCCTCACAGAGGCCTTCCCTGCTCACTATTAATATAAGCCACTCTATTACATTATTTATTTTTTCTCGTAGTAATTACCACTTCGGAATATTTAACATGAGTACTAAGTGATAAAAAATGCTAACTTGGTTATTTGTGCTTTGACTCTATTTTGATTCCTCTAGAGCCTCATTTCACTCATCACCCCTTTTCTTTCCTGCATCTTTCTTTTTTCCACTCACTACTTCTATCTACAAGCACTTTCAAGTCTCTATCATTAAAAATAAACCAACGAGATTTCCTTCAACCTGGCTAAAATGTTCCTTTGATTGAACTAACAGGATCAAATTCATATTCTCTCTTCTGTCTTATTTCTCAAAATATTTAAAACCCATTGTACTGGCTTCCTGATTAACCTCTTGACATTTTGACTTTTTAGATTATGGGTCATATCTCCTCTCTCATCACAACCACTTTCCTAAATTTTAGACTGCAAACAGTGACAATGATGTCTCATTAGTCAAAGCACAGTGGCTTTTACATTCAATCACTGCACATTTCCATAAAGCACAATATGGTTTTTCAAAGTGTGAGAGCAGTATGTGACCATCAAATCAAGGATATTGCCACATACATATCCTTTTAATATAAAATACAAAGTTCTCTATCATTTTTAATAGAGAACTTTACATTCTGTGTCCATTAAGTTTAAATGTTTCTTCCCTAACACAAGTAACACACACTCATTTTAAATACTAGCAGAAAATATGAAGAAGTCTACTTCCTGGAGATAAACAATTATTACCACTTACTTTCTATGTTTTCAGATCTTTCTTAGTGTATAAATATGAATTTAAAAATAAAACTAGGCCATAAGTAGGATACTATATATGCTATTCCATGTATACCTCAAAACATGTAATACATTAAATCTTCATAGGTCAATAGATAGGAATTCTTTCACCCTGCCCCTTCTTCTATTAGGCCTTATCTAACATTCTGGCCACTTATTTGGCTAGTCAGAACTTCTAACTACAATGGACACAAATTTAACTAAATATATATAGGATAAAAATTAAAGGAGAAATGACTATTTAAACAGCGTTTATAAATCTATTCAACGTTTTTATTTTACAACACAGGTGATAAAAAGCAGCTGCTGGGCTAATAGCACAGCGGTTAAGCACTGTGCGAAAGGAGATGGATCCCACATGCCGACTTTTGTTGAATCCGGCCCCCGTGGCAACACACTGGGCATGCTCGAGATCCTGACGGGATGGAAAAATGGAGGAAAAGAGATTGCAGGATGACCAAACACCATTAAAGAAGGTGATTTCTCCCTCTCTCTCTCTCTCTATCTCTGGTGCACACTCACCCTTTTGTATTAAAAAACGTAACAAAACAAAAACGAAATCTGACAGAACTTTAGTCAGACTTGCCACTGGAAATATTCTAGTGTTTAAAGAATGGTATGAGAGTCAGTTCCTTGATCTATCAAGATTTATCTCCCCATGGGACCAGCAGTTAGCGTAATGGCTTTGTCGCTGGACTCCCATGTAGTCGACCGTGGTTCACATCCTGGACCCGGTGGCTTAAAATTCACGCCAGGCGTGTGTGTGTGCGTGCCCAAGATCCCGAGAGGAGAATGGAGGAGAAGGGATTGTGGCGTGGCCATCCCCCCTCAGGGGTGATTTCTCGCTTTCTGTCTCTCTCTGTCTGTCTGGCGAGCGCATGCGCCCTATAGCAAAAACCTCTAAAAAAAAAAAAAAAAGATTTATCTCCCCTATAGTTTCTGAACATACTAGTTGCTTTTTTTAATGTCACATTTATGACAGTGACCTATTAATAATGATGTTGTTTGAGGTCACTGTACATATATTATAGTATCAAGGAAAATGGCAGAGGGTGAAAAATAGGGAATCAGAAAAACAGAAAGAAAAAATATATAAGAAACAAGAAATGGAAAATTATTTGTTGATGATAACATGTATGATTAAGCCAATATACAGTATATTCTGGCTGGGAAATCACATTTTGTATGCCGTAATGAAGTTTAGTGAATAAATGTAAGATACATAATTAAAAAAAAAAAAAAGGCAATGACCACATATGCTCATCTCCTAGCTTCCTGCTACTGACTCTAGCAGGAGCAAGAATGTTCAACTATGGGTGAAGTTTGTCTTCTTTGGTAAAAAATTCTTTAAAAGTCCTTTTGTTTTTAATTGCCAGCAGGTATGTGCACTTGCCAGACAGAGAGGAGAGAATAGACCCCCGCCCACAATGGGGCATAGTCCCAAATAAAGTTTTTTTCTCTATTTCTTAATCCTTTCAGGATCTGGGGTAGGTACACACATGTGCCCAGTGTATTTTTCAAACTACTGGAACTAAGATTTGATCACTTGGGATCTGGCTTCCTTAACCATTAGGGTACAGGGCCAGCCTTATAAAGTCTTTAAAGGTATATAACAAGTAAACAACAACCATTTCAAATATTTAGATGCTTAGTGCATTCATAATTTCTAAAAGTATAATAAAAATAAGAAACAAAAATCCTTAACATGCAAACAAATAGGTCAAACTAAACAAACATACTCATAGTCTGCCTTTTTTGGTATGAATATGTCTTGTGTATCATCTTCTATGTGCTGTAGGTCAGCATAGAGGTCTGAAGTTCCACTTGCACTAAAATTCCCTTGGATATTTTGACTGTATTGTTGAAGACGCTTCCATAAGTCATTATAAAGACGCAACAATTTAGGGTATTCTCCTTCAAATGCTTGTTTCAAAAACATAGAAGCTGCCAAACAAAGCAAAAACATGAATTAGATAAATTAAAACATCTACGCAATGTAGTAAATAAATGTTTCCTTTGCATATGACTATGATGTTACAAGTAGCCAACACTAGGAAAGCCAAAGACAGGTTCCAATAAGGCCCTTTAGACTAATGCTAGTTACAGCAATTTTCCTCTCAGACTATTCATTGCATTTGATGTATGGATCATGTATTTCTTAATGTACATTAAAAAAAGGGCAAAACCAGACAAACTTGAGCCAGCTCATGGCTTAAAGGTTAAGGAAAGTCAGATATCTCATGGTCAACCGTGGTTTGAAAAACATGCTGCCTCCAGGCCAAGAAGAAAGAGATCAAGACTCTGTTCAAGGAGGAAGAGACCAGGGAATAAAGTTTCCCCTCTCTTGTCTATACATAGTGGCATTGGCAATTACTCAGATGTTTATTTAAATAAAACAAGACTTTTGAAAAAAAGAGAAAAACATGCTGACCCTAGTGGCTTTAAAAAAAAAAAATACTGGTGTATGCATGTCCCCAATCCCAACAGCATGTATATCGATAAATTTTACAACTTTGTCGCAAGAAGAAATAGATACACTGAACAGCTCTACATCTATTTTTTGTTGTTGTTGTTTAGTTAAAAACCTTCCCTTAAAAACATTATAGACTCAGGTGACTTCAAGCAGTGAATTCCATCAAAGAATTTATGAGAAGGGCCAGCAAGTGGCATGGTGAATAAGGCACTGTATCCCACATGGCTGATTCTGCAATTTGAGTCCTGCACCCCGTGACTTGAAAAACATGCCAGGCACCTGTGTATATATGCCCCAAATCCCTAGAGGAGAAGTGACTGTGACGTGGCCAAACCCCCTCCCCTGCCCGGGGAATTATTTCTTACTCTGGCTCTCTGTCTCTATCTGTCTCTCTCCAGAGACCATACATGTATCTTGTGATGAAAGTCCAAAAAAAATTTCAGAAAGAAATAATGCCAATTCTATGCCAATTCCCAACTCATTCAGTGAAGTCAGTATTACCCTGTTATTAAAAAGAGGGATCAAAGGGGGGAAATAAAGGCTATAGAACAAGGACAGCCTGTGGCATGGCAGTTAAGGTAGCTGAATCCCATGTGGCCAAATGAATAGTTCAAGTCCTGGATCTGGCAGCTTAAAAAACATGCTATGCACATGTGCACATGTCACCAGAATCCCTAAAGAAGAGAGAAATCAAGGAGAAGAGACTGCAGCATAACCATTCTCCGCGGGGTCAGGGGGGGCTTTCTCATTCTCTCTCTCTCTCTCCTTTTCTGGATTACTCTCTGCAAGCATACATGCCCTCTGGCAAAAGAAATAAACAACAACAAAAAACCCGACAGAACAATATCTCTCAAGAATATAGAATAAAATATTACAAAGAAAATTTCAACAAAACAAGTCCAACAATATATAAAAGAGATAACACATCACAGTCAGGGGATTTATCCCAGGAATACATCGTTAACATTGTAAAATCAATTAATGTGACCCATTTTATAAACAAACTAAAAAGAAAAAGTATGTCACCTTTTTAATAGATTAAAAATAGCATTTAAAAAAAGAAATCTAATAATTCATTCTTAATAAAAACTCTCAACTCTGAATAGAAAAAAAGAAAAAAACCCTTTGACCTGGAAAAAAACCCTTTGACCTGATAAAGGGTTCTACCAAAAAAACAGATATGATCATCTATGTAAGAAATCTTACTGAATCTGGGGCCAGCAGGTGGCATGGCTAAAGGTGTTGGACTACCACAGAGCCGACCACAGTTCAAGTCCCGGACCTAGCAGCTTGCTTTCTCACTTTTCCTCTCTTTCTCTCTCTCACTCTGTCCCTCTCTGGTCAAATCAAATAAATAAATAAATAAATAAATAAAGTTAAATACCCACCCCCCCCAAATCTGACCAAATCTACCACAAAAGCCACTAGCATTATATAAGTAAATTTAGTAAAGCTACAGGATATGCGATCAATGGGCAAACTCAATGGTACATCTATATACTAATAATGAACTTTTAGAAAGTGAAATTTTAAAAATAAAATTAACAAGAGCATCAAAAATACAAAATATTTCAGAGATATATCTGAATATCTAATAGAACGTGAAACATCTATTGGGTTGTCAGAAAAGTCACAATACATTTTTGCAAAAATGACCCAATACATATCAAAAACTGAAAACAATCTTGAGATAAATCAGAGATCTAATTAAATGGAGAGAGATAATATATTCATAGTACAAATGGTCCAATGTTGTTAAAGGTAAATTTACCCCCAATTAATCTATATATTAAATGCAATCTCATTTAAAATTGATGTGCATTTTCTTGCAGAAACCTTTTAAATTATCTAAACTCATATGAAAATACAAAGTATGTAGAATAGTCAAAACAATTTAGAAAAAGAAGAAAGTTGGAACTCTAACATTGCATGATCTCAAGTCATATAAATCTACAGTAATCAAAAAATTGGTACTGGTGTAAAGATAATGACACTGTATAGCTTCTAAAAACAGACTGACACATATGTGATAAACTGATTTTTAACAAAAGTACAATGGAAAAAAGGGTACTGAGCATCTATGTGCAGGAAATAAAGAACAAAAAAAACCCCTTAACTCACATCTTGTACCTTATATAAAAATTAACTCAAAAGAATCAAACCTTCTAGAAGTGAAGAATCTTTTATTCCTTGTATCACACATGACATGAAACCAAAAGTTTATCTGCTGTTCTTAAGACACTGCTAAAAGAATGGAAAGACAAGCCAAAGAGTGAAGAAATAAACTTCCCATGTTTCCACTAAGCTCTGTACCTAGAATACATAAAGAACTCTCAAATCTCAATAACATTAAACAATATATAATTGCCAGAGGGTACATGCACTCACCAAAGACAGAAGAGATACAAAGGGAGAGAGAGAGAAAAAGCAAGCCCCTCCCAGTGGGATAACGCACGGTCAGAGAGGTCTCTAGAACCTCCTCATGTGGGTCAGCCCCACAGACCATTGTGGTACTGCTACACCATGTCTAACCCCTGTTCTCTTCATTTTATAAACAACTTCTCTGAGTTGCTTAAGTGTTTTGAGAGACTAATATTTCACAAGGGGGTTTAAACAAAGATTGCCAGATTCTTCAAGTATACTTCAAAACATGTTTTTAAGTACTGAAGTGTTCATAAAGGGTCACTGACATACTTCCTTCCTTGATTCTTTTTTCCTTTCTTTCTTTCCTTCCCAATCAACAAGCACTTATTAAAGCCCTACTATATGCTGGGTACATTTCTAGTCATTGAGGACTCTGACCAATAGCATTCCTTTTCTTACAGGGATTATATTCTACAGCAGGTTGGAAGTCAAACATGATAAATAAAAAACATGATATATTTGAAAGTGATAAAAATGATGGACAAAAATAAAGCATATTTATTTATGATGACACATTTTGAGAAAATCATCAGATTACAAAGAGGAATTATGTTTTCATTTCAAAAATCTCAAAATAATAATGTTGATTTTATCTATTTCTACTGAAACTTTAAAAAATATGTACTATATGGGACCAGCAGATGGCATAATGGTTATGTTACTGGACTCACACACGGCTGACTGATGTTCAAGTCCTAGACTCAATGGCTTAAAACTCACTCCAGGTGTGTGTGCATGTGTGCCCAAAGTCCAAAGAGAATGGAGAAGAAGGGATTGTGGCGTGGCCATCCTCCTGGGGGTCGGGGGTGGGGGTGATTTCTTACTTTCTATCTCTGTCTCTCTGGTGAGTGCACACACTCTATAGCAAAAGTCTCTAAGAAAAAAAAGTACTATAAGTCAACAGGTTGCTAAACAAATATTATTATCTGAAAACTACAGTAGAAAAGTAACATATAAAAGGCTTAGAAATAATTTTGAAAATAACCATTACCCATAAATAATTAAAGTGGTAGATTTCCTAAAGGGGCTATTTTGAATCTACATGGTCACAAATTTAGGCCTTTACCTTCAGAATAAAAAAAAATTACTATCAAATTTCAGAATTATACCTTCTAATAAAACTTCTTTTTACTGAGCATGAACATGTATAAACAGAAAAAACATGTTCCTAACTAGGAAATCTTCCCTTTAGATATATTCTGCCAAAATATTACTTGCTTAGACAATCTGTTACATTGTGTGCAATCCTCAACTCTGCAGATGGCTGCACTTCCTTAATGCTGTCTGTCTATAATTTGAAGAAGTACTACAGTACACTTTAGGGACTGTATGTGCTATAAAAATCGAAGGTGCTTTACAAACAACTTACTTTAGAGTTCTCCCAAAGGAAGTTTTTAAAGTAATACTGTTATCAGAAGTAAGAGACTACTCTGAATGTGAAATATTAACTAGACTTTTGCCTAAAAATGTTTTTTTTTTTTTTCCCCTCAGCAGTTTCTTTGATTACACAGGCTAGAGAGTTCCCATAAGATAAGAACTGAAAAAACATTCACTGGATTTGGCAATTAAAGAGTAGGTCACTGCTTACCTTAATGAGAACAATTTCAATAGAAGAGCAGAAGATAGTCAACTTACACCTAGCTGACAAATCAACAGCATGAAATTGTAAACTACTCTTCAGAGAAATTTGGGAAAAAAGGGGAGAATAAATAGGAACTAAAGCAAGACTTTCTAGTTATGTTTTATCTTTTATTAGATGAGAGCAACTTGAATAGGTTTGTATCTCAGGAAAAGAACTCAAAAGAGAAGGAGAAACCCAACATCATCATTATCATCATCATCATCATCATCAAGTATGGGCCAGTAGGTGGTAGAGGTTAAGACAGCTGGATTCCACATGGCTGACTACTTGGCTCAAGTCCAGGACCCAGCAGTATGAAAAACACACTTGGTACATGTGTGTAAATGCCCAAAATCCCAAGAGGAGAATGGAGAAGGAACTGCATTGTGGCCATCTCTCCTGGGGGCTGCTTTCTCCCTTTCCCTTTTCCTCTGTCTCTGTCAAGTTGGTGAATTTTACTACAAATCATTATATATCAATAAAGTGAACCAAAACCAGAAACCTAATGTAAGAGAGATGCGCAGTATTTGCTCTGAAAGTGAGTAGTGTAATTTATACAAGTAAATAGAGTAAGTCAGTCTTAAATACATTCTCTACTTAAGTTCTATTTGGTCAGACATAAAGATTTCTTTTCTTTTTTTGTTTTTTTGAGAGGCTTTTGCCATAGGGCACGTGCGCTTGCCAGACAGACAGAGGGACAGAAAGTGAAAAATACCCCCTCATGGGAGATGGCCACGTCACAATCCCTTCTCCTCCATTTTCCTCTCAGGATCTTGGGCACGCACACACAGGTGCCTGGCTTGAGTTTTTAAGCCACCAGGTCCGGGACTCGAACTGCAGTCGACTACATGGGAGTCCAGCGACATGGTCATTATGCTAACTGCTGGTCCCAACAAAGACTTCTTTTGTAGTTACTGCCTTGCTATATACTCCATAAGAAATAGAAGTAGGGGGGCTGGCAGTTGGCATGGTGGTTAAGGCACTGAACTCACACATGGCCAACCAAGGTTTGAGTCTTGGACCTGGTGGCTTGCTTTCTCACTTTCCTTTTATCTCTTTCTCTCTCTCTGGTCAAATTTTAAGAAATAATAACAAATACAATTAAATACATAAATAATTATTTTTTAAAAAGAACAAAAGAAATAGAAATAGGAAAGCAGGTAGTGTAGTGTATTCAACCCTAGATTCCCAGTGACTAAATGTAAGTATATAGGCGGTACTTCTAGTAAATTTGAATAAAAATTGACTACACATGAACTCTTAAGATCCATTTTAAGGAACCAGCAGTTGGCATAATGGCTATGTTGCTGGACTCCTATGTAGTCAACTGTGGTTCGAGTCCGGGACCCAGTGGCTCAAACTCACACCTGGTGCATGTGCGTGCATGCCCAAGATCCTGAGAGGAGAATGAAGGTGAAGGGATTGCGGTGTGGCCATTCCCCCAAGGGGGGTGATTTCTCGCTTTCTGTCTCTCTCTGTCTTTCTGGCGAACGCATGCTCCCTATAGCAAAAACCTTTCCCCCCCAAAAAAGGTCCTTTTTAAAAAGCTTATGTACAGTTAATGCTCAAACATTAAGTAATTAGATAAGCACACTCTTACGATAGTAGCAATTTGTATATTTCATTGTTTAGCACTACCTTGGTCCATTATTTCATGACATAAACAAATTAAGAAATGTTTGTGGATCATATTTGAATAATCAACTTTTAATTTATGATGAAGATATTTTATCTATTCATTAATTAAATCTTCATTTTTAACAATTAGAAGTTGAAAGTCTTGGAATGTTACTATCTTCTAGTTAGGAATTAAAATAAGTCTAAAAGTATGAACTAAATTTCTTTAGTTTCAATTGTTTTAAACCCCCTAGAAAAAATTTTGTAGAGATTTCTTCCAATGTTTGAATTATGGAGCTTTAGCTTATTCTTCTGAAGAATTTTATCTTAAAAAGTAATTACAAAAATAAGTAAAAAGTCAGTTTACAGACTACAAAACTGATGATATTGCTAAGAGATTCTAGAATATACATCACAGGAGTTATAAAATAATAAAATGTTTTATAAATTAATAAAGCAAAACTTGACATCAAATTTTAAAGTAACTGAAAAACTATGAAGTGAATTTGCAAAATAAATAATATACTTACAGTTTGTTGCCATATGAAATTGAGAAGAAAGTGCCTGAGTAACCGAATTCCAAAACATGTATAAAATTTCAGGTTGTCCATCCTGTGAACCAAAAAAAGGAATAAATTATAATAGATAAGGTAAAACATTGAAATTTTATTGAAAATTTATTTAAATGAAAAATTTTCAACACTGGTAAAAAAACAGAAATTATTAAGTAACTAAGTAGAAACAGAGATGAATCAAATTATGTCTCACGCTTAAGTACTAGTCATTATCCTGCTCTGTCAGTTACTAGCTGAGTGACCTTGAGCAAGTTACTTAGCTGTTCTGCACTTTCATTTTCTTCATCTGTAAAATGGAGATGGTAATAGTACCCATACTGTAGGATTATGAGGGTAAAACAAATGAATAAAAAGTCTTAAGACAGTGCCTGATGTATAAGAAACCCTCAGCAGCTGTTACTAGTACTATTTTAATTATTGTTATCATCAGCATCATTCCTTAATAAACAGACGGCAATCTGTGTGTGCATACCAAAATGATGGACGGAACGTACTTAGATAAAGGATAACTAATAGGAAATAATTCACTATTACAAAAAAGAATAGCTAAAGCATAGAAACTGAACAAAACAGAAACAAAAGTCATAGGAATTAGTACTCAGTTCAACATGATTATTTCATTCAACTTTAAGTATAGTTTTAGAAAGTAATCAATAAAAAAAAGACAAGTATTTGTTTAAGTACCATTTGGTTAAAAACAAAAGGTACTTTAATATTCTTAAAAATGAAATCCCACACTTAGGAATTTGATCAAGTATTTTAAGGTACTACTATATGTTTCATACAATATCAAAATGCTGCCTTTCTACTAGTTATACCAATAAAAAAAAAATGCCAGTTTCATGACTCAAAGTAACAGTATAAATCAAATATGTCCAATGTTCAAATATTACTAACATTACAAAAATGAAATTCTAACTTTGGATATTGTAAGTGAATGAAAATGGGAGTTTTTATTTTATAGACCTTGTTTCAGTTTTGAAAGATGAAAAAACTCTAGAAATCTGTTGCATAACAAGATGCATATAGTTAACATTATTGTACTATACACTTACAATTGGTTAGAAAGGTAACTTATTACTATTATTTTTTTTTTATTTTTAGGTTTTTGGCAGGGTGTATATGCTCACCACAGAGAGACAGAGAAAGGGAAAGTGAGAAATCATTGCCCTCTTCATCCCCAGGGGTAATGGCCTCCTGCAATCTCTTCTCCTTCATTCTCTTCTTCGGATTTTTGGCATGCACATGAGGACAGTTTGATTTTCAAGCCACTGATCTGGGACTGGAACCACAGTTGGCCATGTGGTCATCTAGAGCCTTAACCACCATGACATCTGCTGGCTCCTAGGATGGCAAATTTTACTTTTTTTTTTATTTTTTATTTTTTACCCACAATTTTTTAAAAAGGATCATTTTGTGACTAGGTTCTATGAATTTTTAAAAATATAAAGACTATTAAGTGTATTTCTTTTCATGCATGAGATAAATCATCATGTAGATTTTCTTATTGGAGACACTAAGAAGGTGATGTACATTTAATAGATTTATTAATATTAAATGATCCTTATGTTGCTGACATGAATTCTACTTGTTTATATAGATAATTCAGACTATTATTTTAACACACTATTATAATCAATTTCAATTTCACCTATAGGAATTTTGCATTTGCATTCTTAAGAAAGATTGATCCAATTTTCCCTTTTGTGTTATGCGTACGCATATGTGTGAGTGAAACAAGTTATACAGTCATCTACTTTGGAAGGAGGGTTATGCATACTTAGTAAATGAACTAGTTACCTCCCTAATTTTAAAAAGTTATTTTAATATGTGAGTGGACTTTAAAAGTTCAGAAAAAAATGGAATTAAAATACAAGCTAATCTTGCTGTAAAAAAAGTTAGAAATCTATGCATTTTATTTGCATAATCTCCATTTTTCCATTAACTTTTGGAATACTCTTCATGTATTTTGGGACCATTATCATAACCTGAGATAATCCCACTCCCCACCCTACACTCCCTGCCACAAAAATCTTCAAAAATTTCACTAGTTAAAACAACAAAAATTGGGGCCAACAGGTAGCATGTGGCTAAGGAACTGGACAACCATGTGGCCAGCAATGGTTAGAGTCCTGGATGCAATGGTTTGAAATGCATACTGGGCATGTGTGCCTAAAATCCTGAGAAGAGAATAGAAGAGAAGGGATTGCGGTGTGGCCCTCCCTCTTTGGTGGGTGATTTCTCACTTTCTGCCTGTCTCTCCAATGAGCACGCATACCCTTATAGCAAAAATCTCTCAACAAAAAAATAAAAACAAAACAAAACAAAAACAACAAAAATTAAAATGTAGTTTTAAAGTAACTTTTTGGTAACTGAAAAATGTTTTAATGAAATTGTTTTATTCAGGTATTCTACTTGAGTTAGTTATATGTAACCTGTCAATTATCCATGTTATTTCAAATCCTAAATTTAGTAACAAAGAGTTTGTGTGACTCTATTCTGTATATCATTATTTGTCTTTAGTGTGCCTGATAATATTAATCTCTCTTGGTTTCATATGAGAAATGTTAGTGAATCCATTTATTTTTATTCTATGTTGTTTTGCTTTTTGATGTGACTTTCAAAGATACACATTTTAATTCTATTTTTAAGTACAATTTTCTTGATTTAATAAGAAATTGTGACCCAAATATGTTAAACTAATAATTGTTTTGGCTTTCATCATCTCATTTTAAGCTTTCTTCCTGTTTCCTTTGTTTTCTGTGTTTGTTCTATGGATTATTTTGTTTGCTTTTATCTTCCCTTGTGACTTAAGTGCTATAGGTTCTACTTTCGTTCTATCAAAGGTTACATTTTTATTTTTTTCCCAAAGCAGTTTTTATCTCATATAACCTCATATTTTTCACTTTTAAAGCTAAAACTGGAAATACATCTTTTGAGACTACTGCTAAGAGAAACTGATTTAGAATTCTAAACATCAGGAATTTATAAGTGAAATAAAAATCAACATAAAGATCTCAATATACTATAATATAATTATGCTAGTTAAGCAGGTTAAACTCAAGCAGTGTGGGTGTATTAACCTAGACTGACAATACCTGCTAACAATGGAGAACCCCAAAGAAGAATCAGCACAGTCACAATTTATTAAGTTAATAATGATTATATAAGTTGGGTCATGCTTGGACTAGTTATCTCCAACATATGTATTTAATAATAATAATTCCATAATCACATATTATGAATACCACTTTAAAAAACAAATTTTTTTTGTGACTGCTCATTTCTGAGAATAAACAAATCAACATTAAACATATCCCTGGTTTTCTAAGTATAACTGACTACTCAATGCTTTGTACATCACTAATTTCTGTACAGCTATCACAGTTTCTGTAGCATTTCATGTATTTCTTTTTTTTTTTTTTTTAGAGGTTTTTGCTATAGGGTGCATGTGCTCGCCAGACAGAGAGAGACAGAAAGCAAGAAACCACCCCCCCCCCGGGGGGGGATGGCCAGTGGCAATTCCTTCTCCTCCATTCTCCTCTAGGGATCTTGGGCACGCACACACACGCGCCCGGCGTGAGTTTTAAGCTACCAGGTCCGGGACATGAACTGCAGTCGACTACATGGGAGTCCAGTGACATAGCCATTATGCTAACTACTGGTCCCCATGTATTTCTTTTGGATGTATCATATTTGTTCCTACAATTAACCATAAGTTATTTTGAGGTATATCAGCTTTGTAACTCCATACAATTACTGGAACAGATTCTCAGAAGTACCAGGAATTCTTCAAGACTTTTGATAACTGCCAAAGTAAAGAAGACAATTCTAAATCTCAGACATGACCCCTTCAAAAAGACACATGGGACCCCAAACAATCTGGCTCCTTCTTCCTTCATAATGGTCAGTCATTTAAAACTTCAAAGTCATGAAACATACTGTTAGCCAGAGCGGAAACGAGACCCAAGTGTCCATACTTAGAATATACATGAGCTCTGGCCGAGGAATTAACATTTTGTGAATGTCCATTGTGTTACAGGCACTATTGGATGTTATCTAATTAACCTCACAACAACCAGTAGAATGTAAGCTCCATGACAACAAAGGCTTACTTTTGTCTTTTTTACCACTATATTTGCCGCATCTAAGGTATGACAGGGCATAAAAGGTATACAGTATTTACTGAATAAACGAATTGGACAACTTTTTCTTTTCCAAAGAATTATTTAACTTTATTAATTATTATTATTATTACTTGTGCTTTAATTTGACCAGAGAAAGACAGAGAGAGAGAGACAGAGAATGAGAAAGTGAGAAAGTAAGCTGCCAGATCCGAAGATATGGATCACGTTCAGTCATGTGGGAGTCCAGCATCTTTAACCACCATACTACCTGCCAGCCTCCAAGTGGGACAATCACATAAGGCAGGCATTTTTGGGACCAGTGGATGGCATAATGCTTATGCTGTTGGACTCCCATGTAGTCAACCGTGGTTTGCGTACCAGACCTGGTGAATTAAAACTCACGCCAGGTATATATGCGTGCGTTCCCAAAATCCTGAGAGGAGAATGAAGGAAAAGGGATAGTGGTGTGACCATCCCTCCTGAGGGCTGATTTCTTTTGCTGTCTCTGTCTCTCTGGTAAGTGCACACGCCCTACAGCAAAAATCTCTAAACAAACAAACAAACAAACAAAAAAACAAAAAGGAAGGCATTCTTAGTCATTTCTTTTTGAGTAAAACAACAAAGACTCAAAAAATTGAAGGTGACTTCCAAAGAATTTTACAGAGCCAAACAGAACCGAGGTTTGATCCAAGGTCTTTGTGACTAGCATATCAGATTATTATACCTCCTTAATACAATTTAGAAAGCCCTCTGTGACCTGCTTGTCCCAGACTACTTTTCTTGTCACACACAGAGATCAAAGCTCTAATCTCACTTCAGATGCTTAAAGGTTCTTTTGTAGTCTCTCTCTCAGTTATCAGCTTTTAAAACCTGTACCTTATTCAGAGCTCAGTGGTTCCCCTAAGTTCGC